TTTTTTTTTTTTTTTTTTTTTTTTTTTTTTTTTTTGGTAACTTGAAAACACTATGACCTCATCAGTTTACAGCCACGGACCCATGGACAGCAGCTCGTATTCCACAGAATTACTCCACCTACAACTTGCAACTCCCACCTCCTCCTACATCCCCCCCCCGCCACTCCACCTCCTTCCTCTCCCTAATGCTGGTTGCTCAGTTCCTCCAAACACGCTCTCCACCCACTCTTCCCCCCCGCCCCCCTTCTCCTCTGAAGTCTTCTGCTCTGCTCCCTGACTTTGTTTGATGTACCAGTTTTATCTGGTGGTGTTAGCTGGTCCCACTCTGCTCTGAAAACAAGCCCCCACCGTCCTCCCTTCGGAGTCTGGAACTAATTTTCCTGGTGTTTTTACTGGATCCAGCTGTTCCTTCCTTTGTTTGACACTCATCCAGCAGACTGCCTGAGATCTGATTCTTTCCTGCCCTCTGTGGGTTTTGATCCTTCCCTCCTCACATGGTTTTACTTTAAAAATCAAGTCTTAGAAGTTGACTTAGAAAACAAGGTTTACTTTCAGGCCCATGATTAGCAGGCAATCACCGAATAGCAGCAATCCTAGCAAGAGGATATTCATGTCAATGCTCTTGAACCACCATTAAGACACTTGATTTCAGGACAGTGTACACAAAAGAGACCAGACGATGATGATGTCCTAAACTAACAGACCACTCAGCAGTCTTTCTTGCAAGTCACCCTGCCTCAGCTGCATTCATAGATTCGTAGATTTCATAGATTTCATAGATTTTCATAGATTAAGGGTCGGAAGGGACCTAGTAGATCTTCTAGCCCGACCCCCCGCCAGGGCGGGAGAACAACAAAAAACCCCAAAGAACAACAAAAAACCCCAAAAGAGAGACCTGAGAAGTCTAATCCTCCACATTCACATCCCCTGTATGAAAACAAACTTGAATGACCAGTGCGGGCCAAACTTTTTTGACAGGCATGCCAAAAATTTGGTAGGCATGCCATACCCTCCTCAAGCGCCACTCTGATCCCTTCCTCCTACCCAATCGGTTGCTCTGCTTTCTGCTCCATGCCTGATCTGCATTGCATGGAGCTGCCCAGTGCTCCCTGCCTGATCTGTGACTCTGCTTTCTACGTCCTACCTTACCTGTTGCTGTATTCCCTGTCTTCTCCCCAATCTGCAGCATGCCACAGGCAGAGGTTGCCTATGCCACAAGTTGGCCATCTCTGAACTATGCTACGGACTCTCTGACTGCCATTCAGTGGAACAACAGGCACCATACACAACTGACCTTGCAAGGTCCAATATTATATTCTTCATTTCCTTTCTCTGCTCCCAGGCTTTTAGAAATGAGACTAATAGTTGAATGCTTAATGGTGTTTCCTGTTTCCACTGCTCTGGTGGTGGGTACAGAGTGACAAAACCAGGTACCTATGAAGAATCAGAATTCTCAAGGGCCCGGGGGCAGCGAGAAGGTAAATGCCACTGAAGACGAGTTACCGGAAGTAGCGGAGAAGCCTCCGCAGAAAGGCGAGTTGGGTCAAGTAGCGCTGATGCCAAAGAGAGAAACCCTACTGCCAGTGCCAGCATGCTTTATGAGCTCCGACTGGCAGGATGAAACTCAAGCAGCTAGATAAAAGCTGCTCAGGAGACCACAGGAGGGGGACCAGAAGTGAGTTCCTGGAGCCACGAAGAGCAGTGTTCTGGCATGAATTGCCCTGGCAGGAGCGACTGATGGGAGCCAGTGCGGCAGCCCACAGATATAGGCTCAGAGGAGCCTGTTTACTTACTGAAGGAACTTGCACGGAAGCCTGTTTGCAACGAGTGGGTCTGGGACAACGAGGTTCCTGTGGAAAGAGAATAACTGAGCATCAGAAGTGTGAATAAAAGGGGATTAGCAAGCAATTATTGTATGGTTCACCCCCTCAATCCCTCTCTTAAAGGGAATTCACGGACTACTCTGACACTGGGCAAGTGATAAAGAGTAAAGGACTGAATGAGTAGCCCCAAGGACGTGATGGTATTTTTGGGGGGAAGACAATATTGCACTAGGGCCATGAGCCTCTATTTACATGATTGGGACTGTGACACTGGGTTGGCATCAGGTGGGGTGCAGGGGAGGCAGAGCCCCAGGAGATAGTGCCTGATTTAGCCAAGTGTTTGTGCCGGGAGACTGAAGACCTTCCTCACATTCACAAGAAATTTTAAGATCAAGTCATGGCAGGTAAGAGAGCATTCGGCACTAGCAAAGTTAAGTCAACAGGCCAAACTGTCTACCAGACGCAGGGAGCCGTGCCGAAAGAGGTAGGCGTCCAGCCAAGGAGTGGCATGGACAGTTACAGGCCCCTACAAAAGAAGAAAAAGACTGATAAATTAATCTTGTTCTACACAAATCTGTACTAATATAGTTAAAAGTGTGATTTCATATTAGATTAGTTAAACCAAGGCATCTTGGTACATGGATGCTCTTATATCAATTTAAGATAGGCTCGTATTAGTTTAGCCTGCCTCAGTAAATGCACAGACACATGCTAAACCAATAAGTAAAACTGATGTAACTTTTGTGTGTAGACAAGCCATTAGAGTCAATCGAGTGGAATATCTGGGAAATATCCACAGATAATTCTCTTTTCCTTCCAAGAAAAAAAAGCTGGCCACCAAATAACTCCCAAGTCCAGCACCAATCTGAGTTTTCCTCCAGTTCAAACAGTTCTTGTTTTCAAAATCAGACAGCCGTGTTTTCAGAACCCAAAGTTTTTCACTCTCCAGAGGTGAATGTTACCCTGCAGAATATCAGCTCATTGTGCACCATAAACAGGAGCTTCAGAGCCAAGAAAGTCAAGGAGGTAGAGGGTACAGGAAACAGAAAGCAAGAGCTCCTGATCCTAGACAGGTTTGCTAACTCTCCCAGGAGGAAAATGAATGAAAACAGTCGGAAGCAACAGTAAGGTCTAGGTCTGAAATTCATAAGCCCTTCATTGTGAGCTGAGACTTTTGCTTCGTCTCCACTGTATGCTTCAGCCCACACCACATCCTGAAATAAATATTCAGTGCACCAAAGACGATTCCTGCTGCTATCAGTTTCTACACGGAGGAGATCATAAAAGAAGGAAGAACAATTTGTTTTCAAACAAGAAAACAAATTATGGCGGGAGTTCCTCAAGGGACTGATCCTGCAGGCACAAAGGAGTACCATCCCAGTACACATAAAGAGAGGCAGAAAAGCCAAGAAACCATCTTGGCTGAGCAGGGAAATCTAGGAAAGCCTACAAGGGAAAAGAGAGGCTTACAGGTGTGGAAGCAGGGAGCAGCCACCAAGGAGGAGTATACCTGCTTGGCTCACACTTGCAGGGAAGCAGTGAGGAAGGCCAAAGCAGAAACGAAACTCAGGCTGGCAACAAAGATTAAGGGTAACAAAAAGGTCTTCTTTAAGTATGTACGAAGCAAGAAGGCGGCGCAGGGTAGCATAGGACCGCTACAGGATGGACTAGGGCAACTTGTCACAGATAGGATGGACAAAGCTGAGCTCTTAAACAATTTCTTTGCATCTGTGTTCCTGGAAACGCACCTCCCAACGAGACTAGTCTGGCTTGAGAGAGATACCAATCCACTAACGGTTAGCACTGACCTGGTGAAGGGGCACTTGGGGGGGTTGGATGTATTTAAGTTGGCAGGCCCCAATGATCTTCACCCAAGGGTACTAAAGGAATTAGCCAGTGTCATAGTAAAACCACTTACACAACTGTTTGAGAGCATGTGGTGCTCAGGGCAGGTCCCAGATGACTGGAAAAAGGCCAATGTGGTCGCTATTTTCAAGAAGCGGAGGAAGGAGGCCCTGGATAATTACAGGCCAGTTAGCCTCACCTCTATTCTTGGCAAGATCTTAGAAAAATCATTTTAAAACCCCCACATTTGTGGGGGGCCAGCAGGCAATACAATGTTAAGGGACAACCAGCATGGGTCGCACCCAGTTCTTACTAGTAAGCCAAGTAAATGTGACGTGGATTTTTTCACAGTCAGGTGGGTGGAAAACTGGCTCATGGGATGCACCCAGAGTGGTGGTGGATGGGTTGGTTTTTACCTTGGAGAGATTTGGGCAGTGGTGTCCCCCAAGGCTCTGTCCTTGGCCAGTGCTGTTCAATATCTTCATCAACAATCTGGATGAGGGTGTAGAAAGCACTGTGTCCAAATTCGCAGACGACACCGAACTATGGGGTACAGTAAACACGCAAGAGGGTAGCAAACAAATTCAGGTAGATTTGGATAGAGTGGGCAAGTGGGCAGATCAGATAGATTGCAATTTAACAAAGGTAAGTGCCAAGTGCTACACCTGGGGAGAAAAATTCACCAATACACCTATAGACTGGGAAGTGCCACTCTATGCAGTAGGCCTGTGCAAAGCAGCTAGCATTTGCTTCAGATTCAGATTCGGCCGATTCGGGGGACAGTGATCAATTCAGTGATTCGAATCACTGTCCCAATTCGATTTGGTCGAACCTGATTCGGAGATTTGGCTGCAGTGGTAAGAGATCTTGGAGTCATAGTCGATGCAAAAATGAACACAAGCAGCCAAAGTGACAAGGTAATAAGTAAAGCCAACTACACTCTGTCTTGCATTAGCAAGTGCATCACGAGCAGGTCTAGGGAGGTGATGCTTACCCTCTGTGCAGTATTGGTGAGGCCGCAACTGGAGCACTGCATCCAGGTTTGGATGCCAGATTTCAAGAGGAATGTGGATAACCTGGAAAGGTTTCAGAGGGCTACTCGTATGGTTGAGGGCCTGCAGGCAAGATCCTATGAGGACAGACTGAGGGACATGAATCTCTTCAGCCTCCACAAGAGAAGGCTGAGAGGTGATCTTGTGGCTGCCTACAAACTTAT